TAGAGCTGCTGATCTGAGAGAGAAAACCACAGGGAGTCACAACCACTGAAGATACTTTAGCCTTCAAATATTAACCATTTTAGCTCCAGTGTTAGTGGGTCCACTACCATGGAGACAGGGTGCGGTGAGCAAGAAAAACAGTCACTCGCAAACCAAATTTTCACACAGACTCTGGTGTCAGTGCTTTGTCACGGCCAGTACATGTTCTTAACATGTCCATGACATGTTCTTTAACAAATACAAATGGGAATTCTTGGCTAATGGATGTGGTATAATAAGAATAAAGCCCAAGACTGATTGTTTTCCTACAACAAGAGGCCCTACCGTATTTTATTCTTTATATATTACACACTGCAGTTTTAAATATTCATAAGAAGCGGAGAGGTGCTCACAGAAGTTGGTGACATTTCCCATTCTTTGGTAGTTTCTCTGGTGCCACTCTCTTCCTTTAGACCCTTATCCAGTAACTTTTTACTTGCTGGTTCTTCTACATCCAGTATGTCAAGGGCCTGCTGGTACTCTTTGGCAGCATACTGTAAGGAAAGAAAACACTCAGCAATGTACCGACTTCACCCTGATGCTTGCTTGATCAAGCATTTAATATCTAATAACTGAAATTGCACACAACATGGCCAAAAGTTTGTGGACACCTGACCATCACACCCACATGTGTTTTTGGACATCGCAGTCCAGATTCAGTCTCTCTTTGATGCAATAACACCCTCCATTCATCTGTGAAGGCTCTACACTAGATTTTGAAGCGCGGCTGTGGAGATTTGCTCATTCAGCCACATGAGCATTAATGAGGTCAGGCTCTGCTGTTGGATGAGGAGGCTTGGGCTGCAGTCAGCATTTCAGTTCATCGGGGTTGAGGTCAGGACTCTGTGCATATCACTCGAGTTCCTCCACATCAGCCTTGGTAAACCATGTCTTAACGGACCTTGCTTTGTGCACATGGGCATCGTCATGCCTGTTCCAGGTTTGAAGGAGTGAAGGGAAACTGTAATGGCACAGCGCACATCTTATATCATCGTGCGCTTCCAACTTTGGAAGGCCCACATAAGGATGTCACGGTCAGGTGTCCACACACTTTTGCCCATATCGTTATGTCCGGTCTAAATGTCTCGTCATACTCACATGGCACCTTGCAGCAAGATACTGGCAGGCTCCATATAACTACGAAACAAAAAAAATAATAATAACTAAATTACACATTTCAGAGGTGATAAACGTATGACGACCATGAATAGCATTACACTGATGGTGATAAATGTTTTAAGAGTGTATGCCAACCACAAGAAATATTCAACCAAATAGAGATCTTCATGCTGACAAAAAGCAAATAACAGCTCTTACCTTGTCAAGTTTGCGAGACCTTAGAGCATGAGAGGCTCGGTGGTACTGGGATGTAAGATAAAGGCACTGTGCTAGCCAGTAAATATCTTGAGGATCCTCTGATGAGAATAAGGACGATAATGACGTTAGTATACTACAAGTTAAACTAATCTGTAGTTTATCTCTGGCTATAGGATAATGAAAAAGAGTGGTTAAAGTAGCTTAACACAATACCTTAGATTAAAAAAAAATAATAAAAAAAGGCAGGACACTCACCATGTGATAAAGAAGCTACTTTGTCAGCCCAAAACAGAGCACTTTGATACTGTTGCTGCAAAATAATGAAAACATTTCAACTATAACGTCGTGGAACTCTAAACCTCAATTCAAGTCAAGAGTAAACGCCTTAGCAATCCAGCTAAACACAGAAATGCTAACTGGCTTCAAATGTGTGCTCATCTACTTGAAAATTGACCCATGGTGAACTTGGTGCTTAGATACATTTGTTTGTATGTTGCGATCGCTCACAGCATCCTCGTAACATCTGACAACTTCTATGAAACGCGCCACCTTCACACGTCGGTCACTAGCTAGCAGCTTAGCTGTGTACAGGCTAACAGTGCAGATATCCAGCCAGCTAAGCTTCTTTTACCTGATCGATATAGTTCCGCACACACTTCCGGAGTCGGTCTAGATTCATGTCGATTGTGGGCTTCCTCAAAAACAACAGAGTGACATTCTAGTTATTTACGTTGTTGTGAATGAAAACGGCGCTGTCTCTTAGCGGTTAGCTCCTCGAATAGACTAAAACTCGCGGTTAGCACAAGCGTGGTGTAACGCCGAAAGATTCCCCAGAAACAGCGAGACTTCAAGGAAAAGGTCCTATCTGTAAATATACTCGATTTCTTAGAAAAACAAACAAAAGCAAACATTGGGGCTAATTAAAATATTAATATTTGTAAAGAAACGGTCTGTTGTATTTCAGTTCTAATAATAATAGTAATGTCATAGTATTTTACTGACAAACTTAATTCGTCACAGGTAACGTTTAGACAAATAGGCTACATGAACTAGTCCGATATTTTCCTATTAATGATTAAGTGATACAGAGGATGAGACAACGGCAGACTCTAGGGTTTGGACAGCCGTTTTTACTCAGTCTGATCATTCAGTGTTCAAATATTATGCATGCAAAAAATAATAACTGAAAACACAGGAAACCAACTGGTCCAGTGTCCTTCACTACACTGAGACTGGAGCCAGCTATAAAAGTAATAAAATGAACAGGCGGAAATAATATTGATGGCATACGTTACTTAATGCATTTTTGCATATTTGTAGTTGGCCGTCAGTTTTGGTGAGACGAACCACAATATGGGGTTGACGGGTTACTGCTACAATTGAATTGGTTCCATCTAGTGGTGAAGTTGTGTTATTACTTGTCTCAGGGTATAACATGTATCCTGTATGGGGAAATGTATGTGGACACCTGGCCATCAACCCATATGCGGGTCTTCCACAAACTGTTTCTACCAAGTGTGAAGCACATAATTGTCTTGAATGTCTTTGAATTCTGTAGCATTACAGTTTCCATTCACTAAGAGGCCGAAACCTGTTCCAGCATGACATACAGAAAGAGATGTACAGAAAGCGATGTCCACGCCTACATGATTTGCCAAGCTTGATGTAGAAGCGTCCTACACAGATCCTTGACCTAAACCCAACTGAACACCTTTGGGATTAACTGGAATGCTGATTGCATGCCAGGCTTCCTCACCCTAAATCAGTGCCTGAAATCACTAACGTAGCTGAATGAACACAAATCCCCACAGCCACGCTCCAAAATCTAGTGGAACGCCTTTGCAGAGGTCTGGAGGTTATTATAACCACAAAGGTGGGACTAAATCTAGAAAGGGGTTTTCAAAATACATACATGGGATGATGGTCAGGTGTCTGCATACTTTTGGTCATATAGTTCACATACTATGACCTTTTCTTTCTGTATTTCAGACACCTGAAATAAGGTTATTTCAGGTAAGGTTGTAAAGGTACCAGCTACGGAGGTCACTAAAAAACACCATTCTAACCTTGATCTTCAATACTTTAATACTAAGGAACCTGCATATTGTCCACAAGACATGTAAATAAATAACGACATATTTATTACAGCCTATTCTTATTGTTCTCTTCTGGTTTTCTACTTAAAATGGCACACAGGGAATAACATAACCAAGCTTTCCCTTGCAAAAAGAGAAAGCACTGTATGAAGTCCTAAACAGAAAAGCAATCCAGATATACATAGAGGCAATAATTTATTTTATAACATAATCCTGGCATCTGGTAAACAAAATTGAGAAACATGAATGGCATTCTTGTCACAACAGATTCTGCAAGACTGCAGACATTAGTGTAATATGTGGTTGAAAATGAAATCATGTTACTGATGCATTGAAGAGTTCATTGGTTCGTTTGCACAATTTATCCTCCACACATTAATAAATGGTTCTTTTATACTTTATAAAATATTGTTTATTTATAATATTTTTCTGTACATACCGCTATAGTATTTTATAACGGCAACAAGTGTGCTGGTGGCATGAGCTGCATGTTGCTCTGTCCATGGGGCTCTGGTTTTAAAAGTGCATCTGATCTACTCATCTTGGAGGTACGCATGCTGGAAAAAGGGCACTTGAACCACATTTCATCTCCTACTCTTCTAGTTTTCTTTGATTTGTGTATGTGAATGGGGAGGTGTGCAAATGTATAATTGTCTGCAATGAGGATGAGGTACTGGATTTGCAGAGATCCTCCAGAATTGCTCAGGGTCTCTGGACAGGATTAGTTTGCCAGCAGCAACAGCTGACATTGTGCACGTGACAGCTCTAAAAGAAATCTTGAGTATCCCACCTTCACCTGCTTTTTTCTTCTTTGTATTGCTTGAAGGTTTGAGTCCCTTCTATCCCCATTTCTCTTCATCAAGCCTGCCGGTTTCAAGTGTTTCTCCATGTTTTCCTTTTTGTATGTCTTTCATACAAGTCTTTTTTTATATTTAAAAAAAGCTGAAGTCAGTGAGGCAGCACAGGCCCATTGTGTCAAACTGCCACCATCAAAAGATTTACACACTTTTGCGCTTTGATCCAGTCACGATCGGCCGAGCAAATTCCACAAAGTCATCTATTAGGACTGGCCATGCTCCTAAAATAAAGATGTTAGTCAACCATGTGACAAGTTAACTCTCAGCTTTCTTAAAATTTATTTTAAAATCTAACATCTAGCATGTCCACCATTAAATCTAACCATAATTATCTTAGCATGGAAAGTGTTAAGATAATAACTCTCATGTTGTCTTCATATGGCTTTTACTTGCTCAGTGTTTGGGATCCCAAAAACACCAATATTGTGTTCATAAAATAATCATACATTTAAAAGGGAACTATTTTCCCCTAATTTATCCATCCATCCATCTTCTACCGCTTATTCCTTCTTCAGGGTCATGGGGAACCTGGAGCCTATCCCAGGGGGCATCGGGCACAAGGCGGGGTACACCCTGGACAGGGTGCCAGTCCATCGCAGGGCACAATCACACACCCATTCATACATTACGGACACTTTAGACACGCCAATCAGCCTACCATGCATTTCTTTGGACAAACTCCGCACACACATGGCCCCGGCGGGAATCGAACCCCGGAGCCTGGAGGTGTGAGGCAAACGTGCTAACCGCTAACCACTAAGCCACCGTGCACCCCCTCCCCCATTTATTTTCATCATTTTTACTAAGAATCAAATCATAAACTCCTCTGCAGTTAATCTTTTGCCACAATTAGGTCATGACACCAAATATCATCAACAAACTATATCATGGTTTATGTTGAATGACTGTTATATGAACAAATATGGACTCCAAACATAACTCATTTCAGAAATATAATATCGAGTCAAAGGTTCTCACATTAATAAAAGTCATTGAGGGTCAAGATGAATTAATGCTAATTCTCTTTTGGAGCTGTTAAAGAGGGTCTAGGGTTAAACGACCATGCTCACCTTCCTCATCATAGTTTGACATGTCATCTGCAATCATGTTGCCAAAATCCAGAAGCAAGTTCCAGGTATCCCTGGGAATAGATCGCTTATGGTGTTCCTGTTTAGGGGGGAAAACTCAGGATATTTCGACTGGAGAATTCCTCAACAGTGAAACTGCTCATTTTTTAATTAAATAATTTGTTTATTTTTACAGTTTAATTGGTTGAAATGCTAAATCAGTAAAATTCTATTTTGTTAGGCACAAAAAAAAGATCTAAACACAGAAAACTTACCAATAAAAATTTATTCCAGAGGTCAAGAAACTTGAAACGGCCTGTCAGAACTAGGTTCCAGTAAGCGACTGCCATCTCCAAATCTAAAATCCAAAGCAAACAGAAAATAAATGTACTTATCTTAGTCATAAACATAAACAGCAGTTGCATCCTTTATTCAATGTCCCATCTCTATCATTACCTAAACCTTTTTGCCCAGGATTCTTTGCAAAATTAAATGTAAACTGGTAGAAGTCCTTAAACTTTCCACTGTCTTTCAGTTCCTGTTCCAATCGGGGAAGCAGAGTGCGGAGTTTCTCTGGACTGTCACATCTACACGCAAGTAGAAAGAAGCCTTGTTTATCTCTTATCCAACTACTAGCATCTTCAGTAATCATAATTGTAAATGATTTTTATATGACATTTTAGCCCAATGGAACATGAGTCATGAACATGCATCTGTAGTGTAATTTGTGTATTTTGAAACAATAACTCCTGGCCATGTACACACCGAAAACAACTTTCCTAACACAAACTACTGTACCATCAACATATATATTTCTGTCTATATTACTGAATCTGATTGTATCTTAGAGTGAAATATCAGTTTAAAGAGATAAAACAATAACTATACTGCCTACAGTGTTTGTGGGGTCAGAAAACAGTTTTTTTTTACATGGAAACACACCCTAGTTCTGTCATGCCATCAAGGAACTCCTTCTTGCTGAATTCGCATTGCGTTGCTGCCCGGAACTTCCATGCTACTACCAGAACGCTCATGCTGGCCGGATCCAGGTTGAGGTCATCGCAAAACTGTTGGATTCCGTCAATCCCGATCTTATTCTCATCCTGAGGATCTGAGGAAAAACATTTTCCATTAACATGTACTCAGCAACATCATGCACTGTGCACGAACTGCCACATTTCAGTCAGGTAAACATACAAACCCATACTCACAGGACATGCAACAAGAACTTGTGTACTTGCCTTTGTATCTGTTGTAGAGTTGCTCCAACTTCTTCCGGTCTACCGTGGTTTTCATGGATTCCTTGAAGTACAGATCCGGGTTTTGGAAGTAGTTGTCAGTGGCCACCTCTAGTTTCCAGTCATTCTGAGTGAGACAGTACACAGCCGTCTTCTCCCCTGCTTGTGTGAAGGACATGAACTGTCGTACTTTGTCCTTCTGCGAAGATTTCAGCTTATGCTGAACAGGCACAGAGGAGAAGCTCTCAGTCACACACGTCGACACACGGAGCACGACAGTGAACAATACGTACAAACAGAGGCAAGCAAGAAACAAAAATACCCACATCAAGAAACTCAAAGTGAGGCAGGACGGTTAGGAGACGTATGAAAGACATCAACAGGAACTAGCATTAACGAGACACCAGGGTTATTATCAAAACACACACGTTAAAACAGACACTTGTTAAGTTTCCCATCCGAAGACAGAGACTGAAGTGTGACAGGCCACTTGCTAAAGCAGCATGTGGTGGTAATATGAGCTGCCAGACCCCTGCTAAGCCCGGGGCAGCAACAGCAAAAAACAAACCCTGTTCTGCAGCCCGTATATTATATATTAGAGATTTAACTGCAGCTTTTAGTTCAGTTAGGACTATTTTCACATTACATGAGGCAGGGATCTACACGACAACCTGGCTGTTTAGCTGCACACACACACACACACCACTAATAAAGTCAAAGAGAGAGTTCTATGCTGTGGAGCAGTTAACGGAATTATTCAGTGTGCTGGTAAAGCTGGTCAGTTTGAGGTCCACGGAAACAGCACTACACGTTTCCACAGAGTCACTGCGCTCACTTTTCCCCATGCACAACAATACGCGCAAGAGCGGGCTGGTCGCATGACTAGTTGAAGTCTACCGAAAGCCAACAACCTGTCTGTCGTCTCCGACCAACCTCTAAATCGAGTGTAGATCGCTAGTGTACACTACACGCCAAAAAGGGAAAGGTACGTGCAGGGCGACAGCAGACTCCAATATCAACAACTGACCTTCCTGCTCACAGCACATATCTCTGCACTAATATCTGGAGGAGGCTCTTTTTAATGGCGCTACAACTACACGTCTCGGACACCCCGTGTTTCCGCTCAGAGCGGCGGCAAACATATGAGCGTTTTGTCATTTCCAAATCACCTACCATTTTTATCACCCGCTGTTTGACCAAATTGTCAGTCCCCATATACGGCTGCGCGTGAACATCGGGGAAGAATGCGCCAGAGGAGCACCGCGCATGCGCACTGAAACTCCGACTTGCTGGGAATTGTAGTGTTTTGTTTGTTTTTTTTGAACGAGAACCTCGTGGTACAAAATCTGATGCAGGAACACACGAAACAAACATCCAGTAATGAACGATTGAGTTGACTATTACATGGTAGCTGAGTCAGTGAGCCATAAATTTGCATTGTGTACTTTTATCACATGCTCCATCTGGGTATATGTATCTGTATGTATTTATGTCATGAGATGTTTGTTTAGCTAATCATTCATGTCTTTGCAGCCAATGCCTTAGAGCTGTTTGCTCAATTTCTTTCGCGCACATTATCTAAATCAACCTATTTCGCTAAATAAATAAAACAGAAATAACTCATTTACTTTTATTTTTGTACATTTACATGTATTCATTTAGCAGATGCTTTTATCCAAAACGACTTACGAATGATTAAATACAAGCAAAGCGATATATCAAGCAGAGAACAATACAAGTAGTGCTACACTATAAGGTTTATAATTGAGTTCTAGAGAAGCAAAGTGCGCACAGTAGAGGTGTAAGTTGTTTTTGTATGATTGTTTTGGGGTTGTTGTTTTTTTAAATAATATATAATGTGGGGTTGGCATTTTACAAGTTAGTTAAGTGCTCACTTAAGAGGTGGGTCTTTAGCTGTTTTTGTTGTTGTTTTTGTTTAAAATATTTTTTATCAATACAGTATACTTAAAAAAAATAATTAACAAAAGAAACCTCTTGCCATGACACTTTTGAACACCAACACGACGACACACTGTAAACTCTGTACATGTTTATATGAGGATACGTGGCTGAGTGATGATTAGCTGAGAATTGTTATCTTTGTTTCACAGACACGTGTAGCATGACTGTCCTGTCATTCCCCTTTTTCTCTCTCTTTTTTATTTTTACTAAACAAACCAAGAAGAAATGCACGTCACATAGTTATTTTAAAGGATTATATAATTTCATCTGTGTTGAGAACATGATGAATGAAAGGGACGTCAGAGAATGTTATAATCGGAAAATTCATTTCTATGCTGCAGACTAATTAAGCCAGTCCAGACAGTGTCTTGTTGTTTACTGTATGTACTGTATGTTGGTCCTACACCGCAATGCCTGCAGCTGTTTTATTGTATTGGATTTATAATGTATTTAGTGGGTCTACTTGTACAGTGTGTATATATCTTGTAGTTTGTTTGTTTTTTTACTGTATTTTTTCCTACTTTGCACTACATGTCTGGTGATTCTTTTGTACCACACTGCGGCCACTTTTCTGTAATATCAAGTACTTTCTTTTTACTGTATACTTGTATGTCTAGAAAGACGACAACAAACCACTCTTTTCCGCATATCGCATGCCATTATATATATATGAATGAATGAGCTCAGGTTGGTCACTGAGTGTTTGCGTTCCTCTTTTTCTACAATTCAAACAGACCTAAATTTCTTGAACTTTTTAATGAATCTTTTACTGTTCGTTTCTTGAATTTGCCCACACCAATCATTCCAAAAAGCCGTGGCCACGTGGGTGGAGCCTGACACAGTCATCCAATAAGAGATCCCTAACCATCGGAAATGCATATTACTAGCCAATCATATCGCACTAAAAGGCGTGGCCTCTGGGAAAACGATTCCGCAGCGTCACACGTCCTGTTGTCCAATCAGCTGTGGCGTGTAGTGGACACCGCCAAGCTCAGTTTTCGCTCGGACCGGAGAGGGAGTAGTTTGTACACCAGTTACGCTTTGGTTCATTCAGAGCTACCGGTACATCACCGAAGACAAAGCGTGAATGCAGGCAACTGTAAGCTATTTCACACTGGGGTTAGCATTAGCGCAGTTCAGTCAACGTTTACTTCTGGAATTGACGCACAGGCGCATGTACGCTCACTTGGCTAGAGCCTGTAATCTTTCATCAACGTTAGCTGGGAAGCTAAACGGCTAGCAGCATTTGCCAGTTAGCTCACTGCTGGCTAGTTAGCCGTCTCCAGCTTCAGAGAGAGAATAACCACAGACAACCGGCTAGCTGTCCTTACTTCCATAAACATAGTCTGCACAGGAGAGACAGGACGCCGTGTTCATCGCTATATCGCGCACAAGAAATATCCAGATAACTAGTTGCACCGGTGCGTTGTGTAGATACGCGATGTTGAACCGGTTCACTGTCTTCAACATCTCGACAGATCTGATGGGTTTCCAGC